TGGGGGATGCTGGTCTGTGTGGGGGACACTGGTCTCTATGGGGGATGCTGGTCTGTGTGGGGGACACTGGTCTCTATGGGGGATGCTGGTCTGTGGGGGACGCTGGTCTCTATGGGGGATGCTGGCCTGTATGGGGGACACCAGTCTCTATGGGGGACACTGGCCTCTATGGGGGACATTGGTCTCTATTGTGGACACAGGTCTTTGTGGGGGGACACTGGTCTCTATGGGGGATGCTGGTCTGTGGGGGACGCTGGTCTCTATGTGGGACGCTGGCCTGTGGGGGACCCTGGTCTCTATGCGGGACACTGGCCCGGGGCTTCACCCTCTGTCCCCTGCCCACCTGGCATCATGCTGCTGAAGGCCAGTGTCCTCTGGCCGATGAAGTCGCGCCCGATGGGGTCGTGGTCCCAGACGAGGAAGCGCACCAGCGCAATCTCTGGCATATGCACCGTGAACACCAGGGTCTCCTCCCACATGGGGTTGAATCCTGGAGGCCACCAAGAGGAGGTGTCATCTCCCTCCCCAGCTCCACCTCACAGGGCTCCAGCCTGGAGGCCACCTAGGCCCACGCCCTCTCCCAGCGCCTCCTCCTGGGCTGGCTGCCTGGTCAAGGGGAGAAACGCCTGGAGGCCAGGTGGCCATCACTGGGCTTCCAGCCGAGGGGGCAGCCTGGAGGGTTACCTGGGTCACAAGAGGTGGCCCTGGCCCCCTTCCCTTCCTGGTCAGCCTGGCATTGCCAGCGTGGGAGCATGACGGGGTCTCGGGGCACAGGCCGGGGCCCGTGGCCTCACCGTTGTCATCCACCACGCGGGTCTGCTCCTTGCTGCAGTCCACGGGGAGCCCAATGACCTCCACCTCCACGAAGGGGTCGATGATCTGGCGCAGAGGGCAGGGGTGGCACCAGGGCCCGGGCCGGCTCCAGCCCCTCCCCTCCACACGCAGGCCCCCTCCTACCTCCCCTCGGTCCCCCAGCATCGAGTCTCGCGGCTTGGGGAGCTGCTGCCCGCTGATGATCCGCAGCACCAGCTGCTTCCTGGGCTGCCCAGGCAGCGGGTCCTCGGAGTTGGGGTTGAAGACAGCTGAGGGGGCCGGGCACAAGGCTGAGCCAGGGCGGGCACCAGCTACACAGTACACCCCACCCCACCCCAATTACTGGACAGGAGCCCCAGGCCCAGGAGGAGGGAGGGGAGGTGTGGCATTCCAGCACGAGGGGCACTGGGGGCCTGTATGCTGTGCCTTGTGTGCCCTGTGACGTGGGCACAGCTCATCCCTCCCATAGGTGACCCCCTCGCACGTGCGAGGCTGTGTGCCTCTGGGTGCCAGGAGCATGGTGGGGTGGGGGCGGGGCCGGAGGCAGGGCAGCCAGGGGGTCATTCAGGCTGACAACCAGAGGGGAAGCGCAGGGATAAGGTGCACAGAGCAAGCCAGGAGCAGGGAGGAGGGTTTGGGTTAAAACAAGAAGAAGCCCACAGTCCTTTTCAGCACCAGGGAGGAGACTGAAGCGTCTGGGAAGGGAGGAGGGAGCTCCTAAAGATGCCCCCCGCAACCCCAGCTCCAGGCGCCTCTGGAGGAGGGCGGCCGGGTCTCCTCAGACACATCCTGCCGGTGACCCCCATGGGGGGCCAGGGCATGGAGAGCGGCTCCCTAATTCACCCCATCCAGACTCGTGGCAGAGTGACCCTCCAGGTTGCCCACTGCAATCTCAGTGCAGCCCACCCGTGTCCCTGGCTCCTCGGGTCTCACCCTGGCACATGCACTGGGGTTTGAGCACGTAGCCACAGTTGCCGTTGGCGCTGAACTTGGCGCGGTTCAGCTGCAGCATCCGCCCCTCTGACTGGTAGTTCAGGGCGACTGTGGGGAAGGAGGTGAGGTGGCCCTGTCAGTGCCGGGCCTGCGTCCCATCCTGACCCTGCGCAGCTGCCGCGAGCCCAGCGTTGGCCGGCATTTGTCCGCAGGAGCGGGGGCCCTGGGCTTGCAGCGATGCACGACCGAGGCCATGCCTCCTGGCAGAACATCCCCCAGGGACCCACAGGGCCAGACCCGCCATGCACCCCAAGGAGCTCCTGGGCAGATCTGCGTCTGTTTTCCCACCTGGCCCTGGGCTCCCATGGACCCGATCCCAGGACCAGCCTGGGGAAGTTAGCGGGACGCCATGGAGGTTCTCCAAAGCCACGGGCACGAGAACTGTGCACGGCGCCGTGGAGGGCCCAGCCGCACCCTTCCTCGCCGTCCACGCCGACACACGGCGCTCGGGCACCCACCCATCTGGCAGCCGGCATTCCAGAAGGGCTGCGGGTTGTAGTTGCTGGAGTCGACGCGGTAGGAAGAGGGGTAGATGCGGGACAGCTGGTGCTGGTTGAAGCGTAGGTACTGCGCCGGCTTCTGCTGCAGGATCTGCTGGGCCTTGGTCTCGCTGAAGGACGACACCTGCCAGCTCGACGCCACTGCGGACGCAGACCAGCCAGCATCAGGGGCACGGGGTCAGGGCCCTGCCTCCCCAACACCCCCAGCCCCGGCCGCCCCTCACCCTCCGTCTCCACATCGTGGCTGCCCACGGACTTGGTGTACTTCACCAGGTCTGAGAGGGCCCGCGACAGCTTCACGGTCTTCTTCTGCCGGGCTGCCCTGCAGGGAAGCGGGGGCAGGGGGCAGGACCCCTGGTCAGGACCCTCCCCACGCAGGCCAGCCTGGGTGCCCCAGTCCAAGAGGCAGGCTCCTGGGCTTGGCCAGGATCACTGACTCATGACGTCCATCGAGAGTCCACCACACCCACCACGCCCTGTTCCAGGTGCCAGGACACGCAGTGGACACACTGAGAGGTAACACGGTCGGGGGGCCGGCACCAAGCCCACCAAAGGAAGCCTCTCAGACCGTGCCGAGCACCACGGAAACCAGCACAGGGATCCTTGCTGGCCAGTCCGGCCCCTCTGCCCCAGCATCCACATCCCACTGCGCTGTCCCTGAGCCACCACCCAGCCTGCGCATCTGACTGCCGCTGTTGCCAGGACAACGGCCTCAGCACTGCCCGCTGCCATTGTCTCTCCCAGGGTCAGGGGTGGGGGCAGGGCACTGACCCTCGGCTCTGGCTGCCTGGGGAGTCCAGGTCCTCATCCCCCTCCTCCACGCTGGCCGCTGCCTTCAACTTGCTGCTCTTTTTCTGTGCAGAAGGAGGGCAGAGTCAGGACCCATGGAGCCCCAGGCCTGGTCGGGCTGTCTGCAGAAGCCAGGAGGGTGCAGAAGGTGGGCCAGCCATCCTGGGGTCCTGGCACCCACACTGCCTGGCTGGGCCTGCCCCATCCTCTGCAGGACCCTGCTCAGCCTGGGCCCCAGGTGACCTGAGCTCGAGGCATTGGCCAGTGTGGGCCAGGGGAGGGCTGTTGACCAGGGCTCCAGACCCCCACACCTGCCGCCGGACAATGCAGCCAGGAACTCGAAGGGGAATTCTGGGAGGCAGGCCAGGTGCCCTGGGGGCTGGAGGAGACCCCTACTCTGGCTGGTACAGGGATAGCTGGGGCACTCAGAGGCAAGGAGTGTGGTGGGCTCAGGAAGGGCCCCCCAGCCCAGGAGCCCCGCTGGACCTTGCGCTTAGAGAAGCTGCTCATGAGGAGCCGGCTGTTCCGTCTGCTGGCTCCCGCGTCCTCTCCAGACTCCAAGTCCTCCTCAGCCTGGAGGAGGGACAGACAGAAGGGACAGGGTGAGCCCAGCCTCGGACCAGGCGGCCTTCCTGGAAGAGGGGGAACTGAGCAGGTCCTGGAGGAAGCAGGGAGCCGGGCTGGCTGCTGCCCCAGGCCTGGGAGGAGGCACAGTCCCCAGCGCCCCCTGGAGCACAGAGGCAGCTGCCCGGAGCAGAGGCCTGAGACCAGGCACGGAGGGCCCTGACAGAAGAGGTCCCCAATGGAGATGTTCGCCCACACGCCCCTATCAGCTCTTCAGGATGTGTTGTTACAAACTCATTAAGTTCCCAGTTCTGAGTTTTTTCCCACGGATGGTGACTGCATTATAAATGCTGTTTATGTATCTGGAACATTCCTCAGCCCTGCCTGCTTGTGTCATTCTTTGCGAAGACCCCTGCAGCTCTGGTGTCCTGGCCTGCTTCTAGCAGTGGCAAAGGTATTACCTAATTGGACAAACAACACGAGGCTGCGCTCCCCAACGCAGCCGGCTGTTTGCTGTCCACCCTCGGGGCTGCAGCCAATCCCCCAAAGCCACAGGACTGAGCCTTCCTCTCAGCCATTCACGAAACATGCACATCTGGGGCTCCCCTCCCTGCCCCTGTCCCCTGCTCAAGGGGCCCCCCAAGCCTGGTCCTGGCAGCACCGAGACCCATCCTCTGGGGCTGAGGCACAAACCTCTCATCCATCCCAAAGCTCATTCACACCCCTGGAGCCGCCAGGAACCTATGCCAGTGTCCCTGAGCACGCTGCAGCCACCACTGCTCGCCCCCAAGCCCCTTCCACAGATGCCCCCGAAATCGCCCAGTTCTGCTCAGGCTGTGCGGGGCCCCCCCTCCCACGACTCATCCCCATCCAGGACAGGGGCTGGTTTTTGTCAGGCATGCTGGAACCGGGCACCTTTGGCTGAGGGTCCGTGTTAGAAAGGGCCTTCAGCCAGAGACAGACACGCCTCATGCACCCTTGCACACGTCTGCACACGGCCCGCACACACCCACGTGCACTTCTGTACACACACCCCTGTGGATGCCCCTTGCACACACGCACCTCCCCCACGACCATGCCCCTGCCTGTCCGCCGGCCTCTCATCCAGGACAGGAGGGAGGAACCCTCTGGTACAGATTCTGGTCACCTGGCTGAGACAGCCTGGAGCTCGAGCTAGGGAGTCCAGGCCCACTCTGCCTGGCCAGTGGGGGAGGGCGGATGGTCAGCATCCACCCCGTGGGCAAAGGGGAGGGGACCCTGTGCTCCAGAGCTGTGTCAAAGAACCCACTGTGGGCATCTGACAGCCCTGGGGCCCAGGGTGCATGCCCCCTCGGTCTCGTCTGCCTGGACACCGTCTCAGCTCACTTGCTGGCAAACAGAGCAGGGGCCGCGGACCCCACCTGGCAGGGTCTGGACCCCGGTCAGCTGCTCCCCTGACCCCTGCCCGCTCCTGGCTCTGGGAGCAGCTCAGCCCTCACCTGAGCCCTGCTCCCCTCCTTCGCCCTTGTGGGGAGTCAGGATGGGAGCCTCTCTGGCTCCCGCCCGCGGCCTGGGTCTGCCCTCCCTCCTCTCGGCTCCCCCAGAGCAGCCGAGGGGGCTGCTGTGCCCTCTCCATGTGCATCCGGTCGCAGGCTGCGCAGAGAGGCGCTCCCAACCCCGAGGTGCTGATCCGCAATCAGGCAGGCGCTCAGGACCGTCTGAGGCCCAAATTGCTGACGGAGATGTTTCTCTCTCCAGCCCCAGCAACACCAGCCCATCTTCCTCCTAATTCATTGATGATTCCGCAGCTGCTGACGGTGGCCTGGGAGCTGAGCTCACAGCGTTCAGGCCACTTGAGGCCGACGCGCCTGGCAGCTCTTTCAACATCGCCTGAAACGCCACGCACCAGCGCCTGTGAGTCTGGCCAGCCAAGAGCGGCGCACGCTGGCCCAGTGTCCTGAGGTGGCTGCGGCTGTGACCCTGAGCCTGGCCGGGGAGACAGCTCCGACCAGAGCTCTGACCACCCTGTAGGCAATGGAGGCCCCCCAGCGGGCCCCTGCCCCCCCGGGACACAGCTCAGTGCTCACGGAAGCACAGCAGGGTGAGGCAGCCTGGGCAACAGGCAGAGAAGCGGCCACACCTCGGACAGAGCGCTGCCCACAGGGCCAAGCCCAGCAGGCCCCGCCTGACCAAGAAGGTCCAGTCCTAGCCACACTGTGGGCTTGGGGGGCTGGGTCCCGCGGAGGACCAGGCCTGCCCTCGGCCAGCACCAGCGCCCTCTGGAGCGGTGCCTAGCACTGCAGGCGGGGGTCCCCTTCCTTGCCCATCGCTTCTTTCCCTCCAGATAGCCACTCCTGCTGCACTCCACGCCCCCTGCCCTCTCCCACAGGGACCCTCGCTGGGGCCCAGGGAATGGAGAGTGTAGCCTCAGGCTCTCTGGCAGAGGGGACAGAGAGGCACGTCAGGGGCGTGTCCGTGACCCCACTGCCCAGATGCTCCCTCCTCTGCCTGGACCTCCCTCAGAGATTTCCATGGCTCCACTTCCCTCATCCCCCTGCCCACGTCTCAGCAGGGGAGGGCCTGGTGCTGCTGGTGGCAGCGGGATTCTCTGATTCCCCCAACCCCAACGCCTGGCAGCTCAACCTGAGCTCCTCCTCCTCCAGGAAGCCGTCCCTGAGTGCCCGCTCCCCCTTACACAGAAGGCGGCTCAGACACGAGGTCCCCCGGACCAGGCTGCCCTCCTGTGCACCCCGGGTGCGCCCGGGTATTTATGGCCAAGGGAAGGCAGGGAGTTCACGGCGACTCCCTGGCTGGGCAGCACCACGCCCGCCCACCCACCAGAGCTGCAGAAGCTCTGCGCCCTCCCCACCTAGACGTCTCGGGACTGAAAATAAATGACCCCCTGTCAGCAAGGGACCTGCAGGAGCCACCTGCACAGAAAGCGACCCCCGAATTTCTGGTGCCACCAGCTGCACTGTGGGACCCGTGGGCGGGACACAAACACATCCACAAACACTGTCCTGGGGGTGCCCAGCCCCCCGCGCCCCGGCCAGGGAGGGGCCACCTTCCCACCTCTGCCAGGGCTCAGAAGGTGGACAGGTCCCTGCGGTGGGGGGGGGGGTAGGGGGGCAGGGCAGAGCTCTCCAAAAACAGGGAGACACCGTCTCCACCACCTGCCCCCCAGCCCTGTTCACCTGCAAAACTGGGTCTGCAGGGCCGACGGCACCTTCCCTGGCCCCAGGGCCAGCTGACCTGCCCACCACAGCCCCATGGGATCTGCTGGCCCTCGGGCCACTCGGCTGATACGAACCATCCTTCAAGATTTGCTGCCCCCTCTCCAGGAGGGACCCCAACCACTCAGCATCATTGGCCCAGCCTGCCCCCCCCCCCCACGCTTCACGTCTGTCATGCCAGCTCTGGGCAGCCCCTACACCGTTCTCTCCACGGGGATACTGCCCAGAGCTCAGTGCGCTCCCCCACGAGGCTGTGGGTGCTCAGCTCTGAGACCCTGTGTGCCCCTCCCTGTCACTCACAAGACGCCCCAGTAAGGGGGCCCTGGCCTCCGGCCCCCAGGCAATGCTCAAGTCCCCGTCTGCCAGGAGCTGCAGGTCCCCAAGGCTGCCTGCCCTCTCCTGCCTGCAGACAGGGTGGAGGGTGGGGGCTGGGGGTCTGTCCACAGGCCTCTAGGGGACAGGCCGTGGCTGTCCTCCACAAACGGTGCATCCCCCCACCCCCCCAGCTATCTGCCCTGCGACATGGTGAAGGCCGCGGGCCCCTCACAATGAGAATCTAAATAGCCAGATGTGCGCTCCTGGAGAACCCAGGGTGGACAGATGTGCCAGCAGGCAGTGGGGCCAGCAGGTAGTGGTGTGCATGTGTGCCAGTGTGCACAGGTTCGTTGTGCAGGTGTGCACGTGTGCACAGGTTCGTGTGTGCGGTGTATGTGTGCCCACACGTGCACAGGTGTGCACAGACCATATGCTCCGGGCCCCTCGCCCGGCCACAGGCTGACCCGTCGGCCTCAGGGCTCACCTTTTTGCCCGCTGCCTTGTGCCCCAGTTTCCCAGGCGGGGCCAGCGTGGACACGGTGAAGTTGTTGGGGTCCTCACAGTCCCGAATCTTCGACTCCTTGATTAGGGAATCCAGTTTCCTCTTGGCGATGTTTTCCACGCGCTTCCGATTGGTAGAGGCCTGCAAGAGCCGGACGGCCCCTTAGCATCTGTCCCCAGCCCTGAGGCAGTGGCGGTGGCGGCCCCCAGGGTCTTGGGTGGGGCCCAGGGCCCGGCCTGTCCCATCTTGGCCTCTCACACCCAGTGCACGTGGCACCCTCACTCCTACACCACCTCGCTTGTCCCACGCCCAACTGCCCGCTCCCGGGGCACATGGCAGGCATGCGATTTGCCCGGGGGCCGCAGACAGTGATGAGCGGCCCTGAACCCAGGCCCATCTGATTCTAACAGCTGCTTCCTTCAGCTGCGCAATGCTGCCCATGGGGACCCGGCAGACGGCTCACCGGGCGCCCGGCCCAGTGGGCCTCGGAGGAGGAGATCAGTGCTCCTGGAGGCCTTTCTGGGCTCCGAGAGACACTCAGCACCTTGGGATCTGGGATCCCTCTACCCCCATCACGTGCCTCAAAGAGATGGGCAGGGCAGGGACAGACTGCCTGGCTAGCTGGTGCCAGGAGCTGGTCAGGGTAGCCTCCAGGAGCCCTCCCTGCCCCGGGCAGCCCCAGTGTGACCAGAATGAACTTGGACCCCTCCAGGGCAGGGCCTAGGCCCTAGGTGTCTGGGTGCCCCTGGCCCAGATTGGAGTGGGTGCAAGGTACACATCACAGAATGTGGGTTTACGGTCACCTCGGGCCAGAGGCAGAAATGCACTGGCCCCGAAGCGGAAGGAACTCCGCTGCCTCAGGGCTTTCTAAAACAATTAGCCAGTGGCCAGGAAGCTCCTGCACCAGGACTCTCCCAGCCAATGGCCCTTTGGGGAGAAATAAGGCCTTCGTTGCCTCACAGCAGTGGCTTAGAGCAGCGCCCAGAGGAGAGAGGACGCGAATTACAGTCCCCCCAGCCCAGCTGCACCAAGCCCTTCCTGACTCCTCAGCCCCCCTGTGCAGCCCCCAGCCCCAAGCCAAGTGGGCTGCCGTGATGAAGAGGGGACAGGCCACTAGCTGGGAACTCAGGGTTTGTGTCCTGTGTGGAGGGGCAGGTGCAGAGGGGCCCCCACTGGCTCCAGGCTGAACACGTGCCCAGCAGCCTGGCGGCTTTGCAAACTGCCCTCAGCACCTGCCTGATGCCCCTCTCCTATAGCAAGGCCATGAGCCTGCTCCTCAGGGCTGTAGCACCCCTCCTGGGGAGAACCCCTCCTGGGGAGAGCCCCCTCCCGCGGAGAGCCCATGCCGCACGCACATCCCCGTTGAGAAGCTTGCAGTCATCGTCGATCTCGTCTGCGCTGTCCTCATCAGACACTTCACCCTCCTCAGCATCCTCGCTGATGTTGGCTGGGAGCTTCTTGCCCTGGGGGAGGAGGCAGACCATGGAGGGGCCGCAGGAGGTGCCGGGCGGCCAGTACCCTCAGGAGCAGTGGCGAAGGGAGGGGGCCTGTCTCAAGCTTGCTCGTGGGTCTCAGGCCATGGGGCAGGGACCAACTTCCTTGCAGCAGCAGCGTGGGAGGGAATTGCTTGGGTGTGCCTGTGGAAGTCCCAGATGGAGTGGCCACCATGGGGAGACTGAGGCCAGGTCAGGGTCAGGGCCTGCTCTGACTCCTCAGATCTGCCACAATCGGCACAGAGCCCCAGGCTGTCTGGAGCACAGCCCTGTCACTGACCTGGTCCCAAGTCAGAGGTCAGAGGCCCAGCAGGATGCTGGCCCCAGAAGGGCAGGCAGGGGCTCACCTTCACCAGGATCTTGCCCTTGAGCATCTGTGGAGAGGGCAGCATGGAGGCATCCTCGCTGCTCACTGATGACAAGTCCAACTTGTCCCCGAGGATGTCAGTCAGATACTGGGCCATCTTCTTCTGCTGGATGACACTGCAGTGGTTCTCGATGGACAGGATCACTGGGTACCTGTGGTCCCAAGGTGGGAGGAGAAGGGTGAGGCCAGGGAAGGTCTAGACCCCACCTATGTAGGACCCCAGGTCACCTGTACCACTGAATGAGGAGGGGTCTTCACCAGGAGCCCAGGAAAGATGGAGCTGCCGGCCACTCCAGGAGGGCTCAACAATAGCTTTGAAAAGCAACTGAGTGGGTGCAAAAGGACTGGGAGATCTTAGGAACAGGTAGAGAAGGCACGTACTTCTCCCAATAAGAAAAATCAAAGGTGATTAGAAACTCCAGGAAAACAAAAGGAAACATTCGAGCAAGTCAGTAAGTCATGGTTTAAAAATGATGCAGACTAAACTGAGATGCAACGTGACGTGATGGACAGACTGTGTGCAAGACAATCCCACTTGCCTAGATATTGGAGACACCGTCCTGTGGATGGCCCTGGGGTTCCAACATTGGCACCACAGAGAAGGAGACATAAGCCTGGCACACACCACCTGGCGGAACATTGTTATCACCGCATGGTGCAGAATGGGGAGTGCAGCACGGGGATTTCATTATAAATTCCTCAGTTGTTTGATTTATTTTTTTTAACCATGTGCACATTTTACTTGGATTTTTGCCAAAAGGCAACATAATCCTTTTAGAAAATGTAGGTGACCCAGACTTAGAGGTCATGAACCAGAGCAAGAGATGGACAAGTCCTGTGATGCAGGCGGGCAAGCAGGGCTTGGGATGAAGGAATTCATCCCCCCATTTCTTTTTTTTTTTTTTTTTTTTAAAGATTTTATTTATTTTATTTTTTCCCCCCAAAGCCCCAGTGGATAGTTGTATGTCGTAGCTGCACATCCTTCTAGTTGCTGTATGCGGGACTCGGCCTCAGGATGAACGGAGAAGTGGTGCCTCGATGCGCACCCGGGATCCGAACCCGGGCCACCAGCATCGCAGCGCGCGCACTTAACCACCAAGCCACAGGGCCGGCCCCATCCCCCCATTTCTCATGCAAGGGACTGAAGCCTGGAGCTCACGGCCTGGGGAGAACCCTGTGCCTGCGAAGATTACGCTGGCATGTGAGATGCAAGGCAGTCCTGAGACCCCAGCAGGCCCCTGGCTCCTCGGCAGTTACAGGAGACCTGTGTGTCCCAGCCCCCCACCCTGAGACACCCCCCTCACCTGCACTTCCAGGGGCCAGGCCGCCCTGCAGAGGCCCCTCACTTCCACTCCCTCCCAGCAGCCTGAAGCAGAGCCCAGGCCAGCAATTCCAGGAGGGCCCTTCTACCTCTATTTCCTAAATCAATCTTGCTTCTCCTCTCTTCCTTCGTTCAATTAGCTCCCTCCTTGCCTGTGAGCCTCGTTTAGCCAAGACTTGAAGGGAACTGTAACAGTGCGGGGAGTGGTCTTCTATTTCCAGAAACTAAATTGGATTTTGCTCAACGGTGTCTGTAGCCACAGCCTGAGTGACAGCAAACTGAGTCTGGACACAGAGTAGCTTCTTGGGGGTGATTGGTGCTGGAGCCACTGCTGCTGCGGGCGGCCGACACCGTGGACTGCTACCAAGTGTGTGTGGACAAAGGCTGCTCGCACACACCCTCCGCAGCCCCAGCCCGTCATGCTGTCTGCTCCCGCACCCACCGCCCTCCCTCTCCCAGAAGCTGTGGCTCAGCTCCCTCCCCTGCTGCTCATCCTCAACCCCAAAACCCCAAGAGACCCCAAAACCAGCCCCTCAGCCATTACAACCACTGTCCCCCAGAAAGTACGTGGGGGAGAGGCAGGAAGACCCCCCTGAGCCCCTGCCCCAACCACTCCCCGGGCCAGCCCCCTAGTCCTGGCCACTCACTCATTCTTGACGAAGGCATATTTGTTAATGGTTTCAACGACATCTTTGAAGAGGATCTTGGAGGTCAGAGTGTAGCCATGGTGCACAATGGGCTCCCCGTCGGGCCCGTCCCAGCAGTCCACTGTGGGAAGGCAGACCTCCGTCAGTCCCAAGGGCTTGGCCACCAATGCCCAGAGGCCCACAGCCCATGGACTCCAGCAGAGCTCAGCGATTAATACCAGGAGAGCCCTTCCCCAGCCCCTGCCTGGGCAGAGGGCAGAGACCACAGAGGGCTCCTCAGGGTCTCCCCTCGACAGGAGATGCCAGCCCAGCCCGGCCTCCTGGGCGGAGAGGGTGCAGGGTCCCGGAACCCCCACCACTCACCCTCCACGCAGCGGCAGCCAGCCTGCAGGACCCAGGCGTACATGTCCACTCGCGACTGGGACATGAGCTGGTCGCCCACGAGGTAGGTGTTGTGGGACGAGGTGATGAAGTAGTGGCTCAGCGGCCGGGTCATGTCCTGGTGCACGCTGTGGTGCTCGGGGTTGAAGATGTCGCCAGCTGGGCTCCGCGTGTAGTTCGTGAAGCCTGCAGGAGGAGCATGGAGTGGGGGGCTCAGCCCCTGCGTGCCGGCCCCACCATCTCGGGACCACCCGCCTCCCACACCACGCGGAACATGGAGCAACCTGCTCAGGACACCCGTCCAGGCCCGCAGGCTGCCCGTCAGCACCTCCGTGGGCCTCCCGGGACAGCCGGCTGGCGGTGACGCCCACTTACCGTCGATGCCCAGCACCCCCTTCTTCCTGTTTTCTGGGCAGGGCTCAAACTGTTCGATGACATTGCGGCAGCTCTCGAGCGTCACCCCTGTCATCTAGGCCAGAGCAGGGTCATGAGCCCAGGCTAGCCTGTCACTGGCCTGAGCTAGCCTCGGGCAGCCCCCACCCTCCACCACCATTGCCACTGCCTCCTGTCCCGTCTCTGATTGCCACATCAGCATTGACCACAGCAGGCGTGAGGCTCTGGTCCCTGCAGTGTGCTTCCCCCGCTGAGGGGCTCACTGGCCACCCTCAGTGTCACATGACTTGGGACTCAGTGGCCAGTGGACCACAGGTGGGTCACATGGCTTTGGAAGAGCTGGCTCTGACTGAGCATCCTGGAAGCAGGGGAGGGGTCTTTGTCCTTATGAGCTGGGCCACCCCCCTGCCGTGTTAGAGGTCCTGAGAGCTGTGGACCAGGACGGGCTGGCAGGGAGCGAGGCCCATGTGTGAGAAGGTGTAGGAGAGCCAGGACCCACGTCCCACCTTGGAGGAGCCTGGGGACATGCGAGCCTCCTCTTCACCTGCTCCCTCCTCTGCCACCTAAGTCCCTCACAGGAAAGCTGCACACCACAGCTGAGCCCAAGGAGACCCCGCGGGTCAGGGGCTGAGCGACCTCCCAGGGCCCTGCAGTGCAGCCCAGGCCAGGAGCCCCCAGTTCCCCGTGGTTGGCCCACCAGCGGGGCTCCCAGGAAGTCCCCAGGAAGGTGGGTATGAGTATGGGAGTGGAGGGGGAGGAGGAGGGGGGAGAGTGGGGTCACAGCTCAGAGCTGCTCTGAACCTTGGGAGGCCCAGAGTCCAAGGGGCCAGGCCAGGGCTCAAGCCACCCACCTGGTGGACAGTTTCGGCCCCAGACTATAGGGAGAGTTCTGGAAAGCTTGGGGCAAAGGTCAGGGAGCAACGGGTCAGTTCTGCCCTTCCCAGACCAGGCCACATTCCTGCCCTCTGCCCCCATGTACACCAGCAGCCAGGACAGAGGACCCACAGCCTCATTCTAATACCACCCACAGTGACAGGGCTGGGAGTGAGTCTCCGGGGCACTGGGATCCACCCACGCTGGTGCTGGCCTCTCTGGCCCAGACTAGAGAGGAGGCAGATGGGCTGCCACAAGAACAGAGCCCTGGCAGAGTGTGTGACATCAGTGGGAAGGGACCCCAGAGCACAGCGCGGGGACAGCCCCCTAAGTCACACCCTAGGTTTGGGGCAGCCTCGTGGGGCAGGGCACCAACCCAGGACAGCAGAGGTGGGAGATCCTGGGCAAACATCACACAGACCCAGCTTGGGTCCCACAGTTGCCACCCAGCCCCCAGCCCTGCTCAGTGGTGGCTGCCCATCGCCCATCACTGCGAGGCTGACTCTGCCCACAAAGCAGGGTGGAGCGGAAGGCCCTGAGCCGTCCCTGGGCCAGGGGGTCTGGCCCCAGAAGCGCAAGGATGCCGGGGCCCGGAGGCTGCCCCTCTTCACTCTGCCCGAAAGCAGGTCCACGGGGGTCCCAGGAAGGTACAGGCCTGGAAGCTGGTCCTTACGGCTGCCTCCCGCCAACCCTGATGGTGGGGCCACATGCTGTCTAAGCCCCCGAGGGGAGCCCTCTCTCCTTGGGAGACACTGGCCTTCCCCTCCCCCACCGTAGACTTCCAGTGTCCTGCCCATCAGAGCAGGTGGCACCCAGCCCCTGCCTGGGCCGGGGACCAGGGGTCCAGACCCCTAAGCCTCTGGACACTGGGCCTGCAGTCAGCAGGATCGTGTCCAGGGAGCACTTGGCCTGTCAGGATGGACAGGACTGCCTGAGGTGGAGGGAAACAGGCAGGTATGCCCTGCTGGCACCCAGAGGCATCTGAGTGTCTGCTGGACATATGGGAGAATGGAGGTGGCAATGGGCCCAGGGCGCAAGCCAGCCAGACCCACATGGCTGGAACACGTGGGAGGGCTGCGCCATGGAACCCTAGCCCCAGGAGATGCCCCATGCTGCAGTCAGTGCTGTGGTCAAGCGCAGGCTCCCCTCTGGAAGCTCTGGGTGTCTGCAGTCAGGGCTGAGCTGCTCAGAGGCCCGCAGAGGAGAAATCACAAACCTTCCCCACCCACACTGCAGCCCCCATGGGACACATCCTGGAATACACTGGCATGGCCTGTGATGGGAACCGCGGCCAGTCCACTAAGTGGAGGTGGGTATGGGGACCTCGAATGCCAGGCCATGGCCCACCCTTCCCCAAGCTCTCAGCCACACTGAGCAGGCTCAAACGCTCCGGGAACCTGAGGTGGCGCCACGTTGGCCAGGACCCACTCTCCTGCCAGGGTGCCCTCACCTTCTGCTCCACCTCCAGGAAGTGCTGGAGGTCAGTGGCGTCCAGGTGGTCCTTGTGGTTGCTGTAGGTCAGCATGAGCAGGTAGAGGTCCCGGCGGGTGGACATCATCTTGTAGAAGGCGCAGAACTCCTCAAAGCCCAGTGTCCCCTGCTGGTCATCCGTGTCCGCTTCCTGCAACGCAAGGCCTCTGGGTCCCCCACATCCCACCCTGAGCCACGCTCATGAGGGGTCCTCTAGGCCCACCCCCGCGCCTCAGTCAACACTGAATGACAAATCCACACTCCGCCTTCCAACGCCACTAACCATGTCACGGCCCATGATTGCTGCCCAGGCCCCTCAGGCAGCTTCTTCACTGGACACCCCCTCTGACTCTCCCACCAAGAAGCCACTGAGGGACTCTTTAACACAGAACTGACGTCACTCTCCCCGAGTCCAAGCCTTTCAAAGTCAACCTGCAGCTGAACCTGTCACAGTCACCCCACACTGAGAGCCAATACCCTACACTGGAGTCAACACCTCACTCTGGAGTCAACACCCCACACTGAAAGCCAACACCCCACCCTGGGAGCCAACACCCCACATTGGAGCCAATATCTCACCCTGCAGTCAATGCCCCACTGTGGGAGTCAACACCCCTTCCTGGGAGTCAATGCACCACCTTGGGAGCCAACACCCCACATTGGATCCAACACCTCACCCTGAAGTCAACATCCCACTCTGGGAGTCAACACCACACACAGAGTCAACACCCCACATGGGAGCCAACAGCCCTCCCTGGGAGTCAACACCTCACCATGGGAGCCAACACCCCACATTGGAGCCAATACTTCACCCTGGAGTCAACGCCCCACCCTGGAAGCCAACACCCCAAGTTGGAGCCAACATCCCACCCGGGGAGCCAACACCCCTTCCTGGGAGTCAACATCCTTCCCTGGGGGTCAGCACCCCTCCCTGGGAGTCAACACCTCACCCTGGAGGCGACATTCCACCCTGGGACTCAATACCCCACCCTGGAGTCGACACCCCACCCTGGGAGTCAAAACCCCTCCCTGGGAGTCAACGTCCCCACCCCGGGGAGTCAACGCCCCATCCTGGAGTTGACACCCCCCCCAGGAGCCAACACCCAACCCTGGAGTTGACATTCCTCCCTGGGAGTCAACACCCCTCCCTGGGAGTCAACACCCCACCCTGGGAGTCAACACCCCACAATGGAAACCAACACCCCATCCTGGAGCCAACATCCCACCCTGGGAGTCAACACCTCACCCTGGGAGCCGATACCCCCCACTGGGAGTCAATCACACCCCACACTGTTGTCAATACCCCTCCCCAGGAGTCAATGCCCCACCCTGGGAGCCAACACCCCACCCTGGGAGTCAATGCCCCTCCCTGGGAGTCAACATCCCTCCCTGGAAGTCAACGCCCTACCCTGGAAGTCAATGCCCCACACTGGGAGCCAATACTCCACATTGGAGCCAATACCACACCCTGGGAATAAACACCCCACCCTGGGAGCCAACACCCCACACTGGAGCCAACACCCCACCCTGGGAGCCAGTGCCCCAGCTTGGGAGCCAACGCTCCAACCTGAAGCCAACATCACACCCTGGGAGTCAATGCACCATCCTGGAGCCAACATCACACCATGGGAGTCAACACCTCACCCTGGGAGCCAACATTCCTCCCTGGGAGTCAACAACCACCCTGGGAGCCAACACCCCACCCTGGGAGCCAGCACCCCAGCCTGGGAGCCAATGCCCCATCATGGAGCCAACATCACACCCTGGGAGTCAA